TGATCATCTATCAACATGAGTAATATTACACATATTAGTCCAGTACTTGGACCCCAATTGTCTTTTACAGAATATTTTGGCCTTATGCAGGTATATCGCCACTGTTGCCCACGAATTAGCTTCGACACAAGTCGGCAAACAAAATGTATATCAACTTCGGGCTCGACGATAAAATATTGGTTATCTGATTTTGCAGTGAGACACATTCAATCACAGGTTCAAAATTCGCCTACCTCTATGGTCACTATGCATCCTTCCTAGTTCCACATGGGCCAGATCATAGTAGGGACTAGCCGGCGAGCCAGTAGCGCTCTCTGTGGCTACAAAAGGGTTCTTTTCTAAGTGTTCCATTCTGACAGCATATGACGCTTTGCTTACTTGTATGGTGGAGCCTGTGCATACCACTTTTAATTATATAATAATATATCTTCATAAAATATGCGTCAGCTGCCCGGTGGCCAGGGGCGGTGACTACTGACTAGTCTACTCACGGGGCTTTTTCAAGCTAGTGTATTGTAATATTATTTAAACAAATTCATTTTATCAGGGCTTCAACGTCCAACAGAATGACTCGATACTCTTCTGTTACTACGGCTTCAATATACGCCAATCAGATTGATTTACAATTAATCCACCGCCGCGCCGCGGACGTGACGGTTATCTTGGCCGTGTGAAATGAAAGTTATGACTCCTTTTAAAAATATCCACATACGGCACACGCCACCCGTTTTTTAATTACGGAACCAACTAAAATATTCATCATTTTTCTGAAGAGCAACTGCTCACTGCTGGGGCCTGGGTGTTTTTCACTTGAGGTTGCCAAAAAGACTAAACAGACTTCTTTTATAGAAATAGCCGTGCAAACTGCAGACTGCAGACTGCAGAGTGCTTTCCGTTATGGTATGCAGTTATGCAAATCTCAAATTATATTGTAATATTGGTGAAGAGTGAAGAACATTCATGATTCGTGATACCGATCCATCAAAGAACCGCTCAAAAGCGAGTAGCCACCGACTCACGCCTCAGGCTAAAAGCGCATCAATATCAAACAATTGTTTCGACTATGAAAAACACGATACATATGTTTCTCTTCCCTTGTACATGTCTCGAATTAAATACGGTGTTTACTGAACTATCAACAGAATGACTGCCATATTATTGCGACGTATCAGTACACTTCAAACCGTTCGGTTCCATTTTCTCGCTGATATAGATATAGATATAGATATAGATATAGATATAGATATAGATATAGATATAGATATAGATATAGATATATGTATATATATAGATATTGATATAGATATAGATATATATACAGATATATATATAGATATCTGAGACTGCCAAGGCACACAGGGG